CAAACGAATGCTATCTGTTATGTCTGTGCGTCTCCTCTTTTCTCTTTTCCTTTCTCTAGCTCGCTAGATAGATAAAGATAAAAGAATCTAATTTCTGAAGTGTGCCTCATGCATGCTTAATATAATTGTGTAAGTATTTAGGGTATAAGCCATGCTGACTCTAGAGATAACTGGGTTTCCTATCATGTTTAATATCTTAAAATTATCAACTACAAGAAAGTTGGGGTGAGGTAAAACAATAGTTCCTTCCTCAAGCAACTGTTTAAAAATGTATTTTCTGAGAGCGCTGCTGAGAAAAGGTGCTTCATTCTGGGGCTATAAGATCCTGCTGTCTTTTCATCTCTTTTTATTATGATGATTTTCTTTTAAATTTTATTATTTTCCAGGAATTAAGGTTGTGTCTTTGTCAAACCCCCAAAAAACTAAATTTCAAGTTAGACATCGAGATTCATAATTAGCCGAGTTTGACTTGCTCATCTTTCTTAAAAGTGACAGGCTGTTCACTTACTCTTAAATACTGTCTTCAGCAAACAGTGACAGGATCAACTCCCGTTTGTTATCAGGAAAAAGGTGACCTTTACAAAATGATGGCCCTCTGCAAGACTCTCACAGATGTTCAAGAAACGGAATGTTTTTCAGTGGAAATATTTCTTCTTGATCATTTCTCCTGTTAACTGTAGCCCTGTGGTCTTGCAGCTTGGATGCTAATTCTTCGCTGTGCTTAGCCCTGTATGGCTAACCTTTCTGCTGCAGTACAGGGTGTTGACACTGACATGCTGCAGTTTACCATTTGTGATTTATTTAGGATAAATATGTCTCAGGTGGCATTTAATCCTTCATAAAACCAGTGTAGCCTGCAGTGTCAAACCAGCAATCACATTGTATGCACAATGAAAAGAGCAGACCTTTGCATAAAAGAAAAAAAAAAAAAACCAACCACACCAACTAACCCACACCAGTGGTAGGTGTTCCTGTGCTTGGATTCACTAACCTACCGTGTCCTGTAATTACCTGGAAGCTCAGGTTAACGATATTTCTCCCTGAGTGCAGCCTGATCAGGAGAGCTAATATTTTTCCAGGGCTTTTTTTTTTTCTCTCCTTCTTTTTCTCTTTAATGTGCACTTTAAAGTTAACTTATTAATGTCCTACAAACGTAACGTTAGCAATCCAGGGTGGCGTTCGTTCCTGCGCAGACAGCCCTGCTGAAGGACGCCGCGCGCTGCCCCAACCCTGTGCTGAAACGCTCTCTGCCACGCACCAAACGTTGAGGCTGCGGCAGATCTCGCCCAGGGCTCAGGAAACTCATCTCTGGCATTTGCCTCCCCGCCGTGCCCGAGCTCCTGGTGCTGCGCCGTACCGTCAACTGGGAGCAGATGAGCTGGGCCGCTCCGTGGATTGGACCGCCCCGTATCCATAGACCGCCCCAGCTTTCCCCTGGGCTCTGCCCTGGGGAGCGGGGAAGGAGGCAGCGGAGGTAGAGCGGCACCTGGAAAGGACCTGACCCCCCAGGCTGGCCCTGTGCGGTGCTGGTGAGGTGCCCGCGGCGTGTCAGGGAGCGGCTCGGGGGCTGCAGGAGCCCTTCACCACAGGTAGCATCCACCACCAGAGCCTAGTAGAAGAACTCGTGCGGTGGATCCAGGAAGGTGTGTAACCCAGGCCGCCGTTTGTTCCTAAAAGTGAGTTTTGCTGTTTGGTCTGAGCACCTTCGGTTGCCTGTCTCCCTCAAAGACTATGCTGTGATGGAAGGGGTTGTTGAGAGCGCAGGAGTACCCCGTCAGTCTGTTGCCTTCTGATGTTCTGACTGCCAGAGCCATTGGAATGTTTTCCTCTTTGTTGTCATAGAATCACAGGACGGTTTGAGTTGGGAGGGACCTCGAAGACCACCCAGTTCCCACCCCCTGCCCTGGGCAGGGACACCTTCCACTAGACCAGGTTGCTCCCAGCCCCATCCAACCTGGCCTTGCCAACCTGGCCAACCTTACCCATTCTGAATGAGCGTTAACAAAGCTGGATCATACTGTGACGATGCCAAACGGGTGAAAATGGAGGTGTTTAGGAAGCATTGAACTGGTATGCGGGGTGGTGGGACAAAAACAAAAACAACCACCACCAAAAGTGAACCAAAAAAACCCTAAATGAAAACATAACCAGAGAAAGAAGAGATGTTTCTGGTGATGAGTGGTTTCACGCTCCATCTCTTAAGAATCAGCTCTACACCTCCTGAGGCAGCATCTCCTGGCCCCTGAATCCAGGCTCCATCTTTGGCAAGAAATGAGAGATGAGAGATAGCTGGAAACTATATTTAGAGAAATATTTCCTATGATAAAAAAAAAAAACCAAACCCAACAAAACCCAAAGTGCCCACAGCTACATACCATTCTGCCTGACCACCAGCTGCTCTTCGCTGTGGAAGTGAGACGAGCCAGAGCCCGTAGTTGATGCGCTAAGGTATGCACGTGTGGCTTCTGCATAGCGCTGCAAGCGCTGCTGTCGTTTATAAACGCTGCTTGAATGCCAGAAATGTTAGCTGTGGGTCCTGGAGTAAATATATTTGTGATCTTTGTGGGGCAGTGGATTCAGCTTATCGTGGAATCGCAGTAGAGATCTCTGCGTGTCAAAGTTCTTGCACCTTGGGCTAGCCCTGAGATGAAAGCGCAGGTGAGTCCCCTTCGGAAGGTGGCGAGGATTGAGAGATGGGGTTGGAGCTCCTGGCTGAGCTGTACGAGGAGGTGGCGCTGGGGTAGGCGCAGGCCTCGGAAAGCAACTTCTGGGGCTTTTTTCTCCAACTCTCCCTGCTCAGCAGACTTCCTGAGCACAAAAGCTGTAAACAGAATTAAGGAAAAAAAAAAAAAAAGAGAGAGAGAAGGATGAAGACAAAACCACTCCTGAAATTTGAAGCAAAGTTAGATGTAGTGAGAGGATTAAGTAACAGAAAAAAAGGTCATTCGTTTGGCAAAATAAAAAAAAAAAAAAAAGCTGTGAGTTTTCACTTATTTTACTGTGCAATATTAGCCCATAATTTAAGGTAGCACGCAGCTCACTTAAACAGCCTACCCCTGCTCCATCTTGTTGAAGAATACAATTCGTTTTCTCCTCCTCTAGGGTGATATCATTTTCTACGAAGAAAAAAGTTAGCTCGGATGGCAGTTATATGTTTCGGAAGCACCTTCTAATCAGGGATTGGTGATTCATTATTAGCTTCAGCAGGCGATCCATCTGACATGTAAGGGGAAAAAATTAGCAGCTGTCACTGCATGATGAGTTAATTTCCTGATAGGCCTGACACTGAAAAGCCATTTGGAGACATGGAGATGGCTGATGAGAAAACCTGGTGCTGGTTTATAATTGGAGAGAAAGAAAGGGCAGAGAGAGGGAGGCAGCCGGGGGAGGGACTGAGGCTAATCTACAAGTGGGGATGGATGTTTGTATATTTACTAAATAGACTGGCTCACAATAACCCGCATTACGGCGCGTATACACCTCGGCGGTTAAGTAATAAGGACCAGGGCCTTTCATTTTCCTTCTGCCGCGTGTCATTATTTCTAGTCATTTGTAATTAGTACTCCAGACGGTTTTACGCTTACTCCAGCCCGGGTGAGCGGTGTACAAGCACGCGGTTGGGTTATCTTGCGGTGACATTGAAACCTGACATTTTAGCGGAGAGGGGAGAAAATGACGCTATCCCTTTAATGGTTCTCGCGGCAATTTTCCTAATTGCAGCTTGAGATTTCAATCAATCATACAAAAATAAACTTATCTG